TTTAATAGTATTTAATGCGTGATTCATGTAATTTAAATTAATACTTCAATATTATTTTCATACTTTTATATCTTATATGTGTCTAGTTAGATTATTCAAGTCAAGTACTTCATGTTTAAACTCGTGTACATTTAATAAACGAGTTTCCATGACTCAACTCGTTTAATAAACAAACAAAAATGAGGAGCCCGAGTTCGGATCGTTTAAACTCTGTTTGACTCGTTTAATAAACTTTGAAATCTAAACCAAAAATCAAAATTCTAACCTACATGTTTGAAAGAAAAGCCTGATTAGTTGTTTGACATTAGCTCATTTAATATAGAAGTGAGTCGATTTCGACCTTTCACAAGTCGAACTGAACTATGTTATCGGTAGTGCTGTAAAATTAAAAGAGTCGGGCACAATTCGGTAAGGCTTGAGTTCGACTTGACTAGTTTGATAAAGGAGCCGAGCTCGAGCTTATTTGATAAACGAGTCGTGTTCGAGCTCATTTAAAGCTCGTTTGATTGACAAGCTGAGCTCGACTCGATAAGACACGTTAAAGCTCGAAAAGATATTCTTCATGTAATTTTCTATAGTTCGGCTCGTTAAATCTCGATATTGGTCATTAAGGCTCAAATTTGGCTCGATGTTAGTGATAAACGTGCCGAACAAAAAACTCGATTTCAGTCTTGTTTACTTAAAGTGCCGAGCAGCTCGAATCGTTTACAAGCCTAGGTACTGAATATTCGGTTTGCACGTTTTGCAGGATGAAAAAAATTCTGGCTATGCCCATGATAATTGCAGAGGGACGAGGAGTGGATTTTTTGGGGGTAGGGTTCGTCGGGAGAGGCGCAGCTTAGGTCTGTCGAGTTGCTCTTTTCAACCTTCGATTTCTTCATTTAAGTAAGAAAACTGCACAAGAAGAAGATAAAAGAGAATCCAACTCCGATTCCCTTGTGGTTCCGGAAACCGGACCAAAAAAAAAAAAAAAAAAAGAGAATCCAACTTCAAATTTAACATTTGATTACAAATTTTCTACACTTATCCACTGATCACCAAATGTTTTTACACTTAGATTCTCAACAACATGTAAGTTATTTGCATGACATGCCAGAATCTTGATTATTCTCAATTATAAACAGCTTGTCATTATCTCTGATGACTTCAATGGAGTCGATTTCTGCCCCTTCTTCGTTTGTCAGCAATGCACTCGCCCCATCAAATCCGAACTTCTGACCTGTGCCAAATAAACACAACAATTTTCAAACATATTTTCATATATGTAAAAGGCTTGGAATAAAACTTAAAAGTGAAAAATACCAGCAATGCTCTTGAGCTCCGCCAGCGAACTCGGGACCCTAACCAACCATCCGGGCTCGCCTCGTTCCTTTCGGCCTGCCGGGTGGCCTCTGTACACGCTGACCCTCGGAAAACCAAAACCTCTGGCAGTTTCCGCTTTTGCCCTCGCCTCGTTTTCACCACAAACTTTCGGGCTCTGCTCGTCCGGCACGACTACACGGTGACCGATCTCTCGTTCGCGCAGCATCTGTTCCAGGTCAGCCGGGCATATCCTGTCTCTGACAACCTCGTTAACCTCGGACCCATTCATGATGAGGAACCGAAACATGTCCAGGTGGCCCTTATGGACCGCCACCTGGGCGGCGGTGAGGCCGTGGCGATTTTTAGAGTCGATGTGGAGGCCGTGCTTGAGGATGTCCTGCATTGTTTGGAGGTCGTTTTTAGCGGCGGCCGTGCAGAGTAGGTCACCGGCCACGTGAGGGTCGGAAATCGAGGCCCAGTGGTAGAGGAGTCTGAATGTCGAGTGGTGCTTTGACGAGATGGCTTCCCATAGGGCCGTGTTGCCGTTTTTATCTGCCATCCGTATAATGTGTATTAATAATCAAGGGAATTGCAATAGTCCCGTCACAGTATGATTTCGTTCTTTCAATATTCGTCATTAGATCTTTTAATTTGACAGGGACCCTTTACAAATGTTGATACGCCAATTTTTTATTGGAGGTTTATTTGGAGGAATGGTTCCGGTACGGGATTTTAGCATTTTTTTCTTTTATTAATTTTATTTTTTTTCATTTTTATTTTTGAGTTTACCTCGGAGGTTTAAGCTGCAGGCGTGCTTGAGGAGGACGACTACGCATTCTTCATGACCTTTCGATGCTGCTATATGCTGTCAGGTATATGGTGCAACCAGAATTAAGAAGCTAATGAGATTCAAATGGGCATATATTTGTGATGATCAGTCTTTGATATGGCATGAATATGGTTTGTAAAAGAAGATTACCAAAGGAGTTTTTCCCTCGGAATCTCCAACATCAGGGTCGAGCCCTGCCTTGAGAAGCTCGTTAAGAAAAGCAGAATTTCCAGTGGCCGCAACAGTCATCAAGTTGATGGACATGTTTGGATCACCGTCTTCTTCTCCGCCATCGAAAAATAAGTCCCGGAGCTGTAAATCCTTGAGCTTTTTGTGATGCTACAAAAACACCACATTGTTTTTCAACTTTTAAGGGCTTAAGCAAAAGACTATTGCTGCATTAGGCCAATTTCAAATGAACCCCTTATGTTCGTAAAATGTATCGGAACTTTTCAAGTAACTTTCATAATTACGCCAAACCGCAGGGGTAGTTTTTTGTAATTCCGTAAAACATCCAACAAATACCTTAAGGAAGTTCTTGAGCATGGTGACGTTATCTTCCTGTCTCGTCTTCATTGCCTCAATGAGGGAGCTCGTTTTCAGCCTGAGAAGCTGGGAAAGCGTCTTTGTCCGGTACGTGTAGCTTTGAGGAGTCGAGCAAAATGCCCCAACCTCCCCAAACACATCCCCCAACTTGAAACCCCACACCACTTTCTCTCGCTCCATCTCACACTCGATCATCTCAACTTCTCCCGATACTATAATGTATATATCGTCCGGAGACTCGTTCTGTATTATCACATCCTCTCTCGGGGGAATATACTCTGCCTTCATATCCGCCACCTGTCACATTTTTAATAAAGAATCACTTCACAAATACTTCATCACTGTAATCATTGATGGACTAATTAGCTTTACCAGGAGAAGGAGAATTTCCATTGAGACATCCTTAAAGAGGTAAACTTTCTTTACAGTGGGTAAAAACAAGTGGTGCTGTATGCTTTTGCATATTGTTTTGGGCAGGTGCTCGATAAGCTGCTGCTGGTTTAAGCTCTCGGCTTTGAATCTAAGACACATATAAGCCAGTATTTGCTCTCTCAGTCTTGGAGGCAGACGATTACGCGACACGAAGCTCGATGCAGCTTCAATGCTGTTTCTCTACCACAAAAAAAATAAATAATAATAATAATAAGCGAAACGGATCGATTCAATATTGCATGAGCATGTACACGCGTCATTCATCATATTTAAATAACGTAAGATTTAGAGAATCGGGAAAAGAGGGTGCAGTCCCACGCAGATGAAGCGCACCATAAGAGAGTGGGCCTAGGTATACCATAGTGAGGCTTCACCCCAAAACCAATTGGCGATAGGAGGAGTAGTCCACTAGGCATATAAGCTAGACTCATTTTTCCTTTAGATTCAATGTGGGACAACTCACAAGTGATATGCCAAAAAATGAGAATAAAGAATGTGTATAGAGGACTTACGAACTCCATTGTCCTACGGGTGCCCTCGACGACCAAATTGGTCATGTTGCCTATGATGTACGCGGTAAGGCCGAGATTGAAGAGCATGTAGAAGATTATGAAGACCATCTCTAAAGTGTTGACTGCGTGTATATCGCCATATCCGACCGTCGTCATTGTGGTGACCGACCAGTAGAGGGCCGAGATGTAGCGGATCAAAAGGCTCGTCTCCTTGAAATTGGGTATGGCCGACCCGATCCATGTGTTCCCTTCGTTCGGATATCGGTCAGCCAAGAAGTAAGCTACGCAGGCAGCACAATGCACTTGTAGTAATGTAACCTGCCATTAAATATTGCACAAACTTATTACATTTTTTCTCTGAAGCGAGGTTTAATTGCTACTAGCAAGTGAGTGAGTAGGGTGCATTTGTACTTACAAACAAGAGTCTGGCACATCGGACCCAAAAATAGCTAAATCTTATATCCTTCTCAATCCTGCAATACAGTGCACCAAGCTTATATATTGACTCGAAATTTTTTAATTTTCGATGTGGCATTGAGTTTGCACACAGCACACCCAACATATGCGTGTATAAATTAAGAAAAAAAAAAGGTGAAAATGGTTGATATATATATACCTGGTAAAGAAAGTTTTGACACGACGGAGACGCCAAAACCTAAGCATTCCAAGGACAGAGTAAGAGACGGAAGTGTGTCGTTTGCCTGAAATCAAGTAAGCTAACGTCTCCAAAGGTAGGGTCGACGCAACGTCCATTATAAACCATGTCGATAGGTACCTGCATATCATTTATATATCTCTCATTTTATTATCTAAACAAACAATACAGAGGGATTTTTATTAGAAAATCTAATGAATATTTCAATGATACAACTATATCCAAAATTTTCAAAAGTGCATGACAAAGCATGATATGATATATTGTTATGAATACTGTATCAGAAAACTTGAATGAATAAATCTATATGATACTCGCCCAAATTATGGAAAGGTTATTATGATAAATGAAATATATATATATATATATGTGTGTGTGTGTGTGTGTGTGTGTAATACGCGTTGTATGCTTTTTTCTTTGGTTGATGTTTTGTTTTATTGGGTTTTCCTAGCAATATTTTTAATGAGCAACATGAATGACGTATTGACATGAATAGTGTACTCTTTTTTTTTATTAGGATTTTGTCCCACGAGTTTTAACGAGGTATATTCATGGTATAATTAGGAATAAGTGAAAATTGTTATGATTTCTCATGACGATAAGAAAACACTAGAGAGTAGTAGTATTTTTCTTTCGATCATGTTTTGTTGGTTTTCTTGACAAGGTTTTATTGAGGCAACATAATGAGTCTCCACTAAGTACTAACAATGGTCTCTTTGAGGGGAGAGCCATGTCATTCTTTCATAATGTTCATGTTTTATCTCATTAGGTTTTCCTAATATGCACGAAATAACAGGTACCTGATAATATACACAAAATAACACAACAAAATGTTCATGTCGTGATCTGTTCCAACAAGTTTAGATATGTTCAAAGAATAATTATTCAAGGAGGATTGTTATGAATATCTCCCAGCACGACCGTATTAAATTGTGTCAAGTATGAATGACTGACTATTTTGCCCTTATTGAAATTGTATATTTACGATTGCATCATTACAAGTTTTCATATAAATAAGAGTTTCAATTATAATGAAAATCATACCAACACAACATATTCTGTCTAATTTTTTTTTTTTTTTTATTTTAAACTAGTATGGAAAACTCAAAATAATGAGATATGTACAAAAATAACTCAAGTTGTACTGTTATATTTTTCTCCATGATTGGTATGAGAAAACTAGTATGCAATTCGTGCGATGCACAAGATGAATAATTTTAATTTTTACAATCTTATTATCCCCTTATATATTAATACAGAATGCGCGGAGCCTACGTGGCTGCTTCTGGTGCTTCGGAATCCTATGTGGCAAAATTACATGTTTCGTTATTAGGCTTGGGTAAATTTTAAATTAATTCCAAACCAAAAATAATTAGGTTCGGATTACCATAAATATATTGATTATTTATGGTCATGTTACATGTATTAATTGCATTTTAATATTATTCCATATTATAACTATTGAATTGTATATATATTTTAAAAGTTAATAACTTTTGTATTTTTTATCAGTTTTACATATGTAATATATCAAATTAATCTTCTTTTGATGAGCTTCGATTTAACATCCATATTGTATGTATAAAAAATAATTTATATTTATCATTATAACAATAATAAAATTATTTTTAATATTAATTAGAAAAATAAAATTATTTATCAACTAATATATTTATTATTTCAAGTAGTTATATGATATAAGCTCACATATCATTCTAAAATATATAGTAATATATTTTTTTTTAAAAAAATAAACTAAATATAATATAGTTTTTTCATTAATTTTAAATTTCAAAATAATTTTTTAACTAGCACCCGTGTAATACCCGGGTGTTGTACTAGTTATTCATCAATAAAGAATATTAATGAACTTGGAATAAAAAAAAAAACATTACTTATTATAATATATAATTCTAATTATAGATATGTGGTGTAAGACCTCAGTTACGTCAGGCGAATTTCCTGGGGCCCAGAATTAGCTTCTGTGGTAGAAAAATATGGGCCGATGTGAACCAACCCAACTGACAAATTAATTAATTAATTATTGTACATGTGACAAAGGCGACCTGGTATCTTCTAGTTGGACCACATAACCCATGTATTGGGTTGGGTTTATCTCCTTCAACTCTTTGGGTCAGCTATAAACATGAGACCAATAATTAATTTATGGGAAATGCTACGACCCGTTACGGAATCCATCGAGGTTTTGTAACCGTTAAATCATCATAAATCGTCAGAAATAATTGATCTAACGATTACAAATCTCAATTGAATAGTTTTGTAACTGAACCGTAACATCTACAGTAATTTCTAATCTCAAAAGTAAAGTTAAGTTGATAATGAAAAGATGGAATATTTTTTTTACTCACCCACCCACCTACCCACCTACCCCCTGAGAATCCGCATTAATAATGTCAAGATTCTCTAAAAAGCAAAATCACCATATTTGAATTTTTATCAATTTACTCGTCAATCGTGACATGTATTCTAACGACTTCATCTAAGTAATAAAGTTTTTTGGGAGAGATTACAATCTCGTTACGGAACCATTCAACAGTTACATGATGATTTAAAGGTCACAAATCTCGACAGAATGATTTCGTGACGGGACCGTAGAATTTTTCGAAGTTTTTATAGGATTTGGTATATAGATTGCTCTATTTAACTACAAAATAGTTCATTTATATGATAATGAACATATGTAAAGTATTTTATAAATGTAAGAGTATTTATAAACTCTTCTATTATTTAATTTATCTTTGTTTTTCAACTATCTACAGTCTCACATATGTCAAATTATACTACAGTTAATATTAATAATTGGAGATACAATTTATTATTATTATATTATTATTTTCTCTATATTGCACGTTTTATAATTGACAATAACCAACTGCTCTCATTTATTCAAAAAAATAAAACATAATATATATATATATATAATTGGAAAAAAATGTTAGGACATATAATTAGCTAATATTCTTATTATTATACTTTTCAACTAATAAAACCAAACCCTGCCAAACTTTTATAGGCAGCTGAATTTGTTTTCTAATATATATTTATCATTTTTAATACGTAGCTCGTCTCGAAAATTAATTAATCGAATTTATTTTGACATCATATTTATAATTAAAAAAATAATATACTGTATATATTGTTTATTACAATAAAATGAAAATGAAATAGTTAAAAAAAAAATAAATAAATTGTACTAACCTTTTAGCAATTTTAGTAGAATCACGTACTAATAATTGAGTGGTGGGATCAAAGTAGGCAATGAAAAATGTGAGGATAATATCAACTCCAAAAAAGATGTCCACAATATTGTCGGCAACGTAAAGTGGTGTATTCGGATTCGAGTCCAAAAACGATATCTCGTAAGGGCAAATCCACACTGAGTATGCCACCAACATTACCATTAAGGTCTCCCAACACCTGCAAAATCATCACCAATTATATAATTATCGAACGTTCTGAGTCTAGGTGACAGACTGGCACTTTTCGGGATTTTATGTAACAAATTTTTAAAATTTTTTTTGGTTGATTTGGACGAATTTTAATTTATTTTTTAATCCAAAAGTAATCAAAATAGAATAGGAATATCGGTAAATATATTGGATATTTATGGTTCCTTTTAACAACATTAATTATGTTTTAATTTTGTTTTAAAATATAATATAATATTATCATATTTTAACAACATTAATTATGTTTTAATATTATTTTAAAATATAATATAATATTATTATATTTTAACAACATTAATTATGTTTTTTTTCTATCAATCATTCGTTTTTATTTTTATTTTTCGAAACGATAGACTCAATCATTCATTTGAAATTATATAAATTTATTAATATTATAAATATATTTAAAAATTAATTTTTTTTATTTATTAACTAATTTCATTTATACATTATATCAAATTGATCATGTTTTGATGAGCTTCAATTTGACATGTACATTATACATAAAAAAAATAATAATGATTTTAATAGTTTTTATAATTAAAATTAAATTATCTATTGACAGTAATTCGAAAAAAAAATAGAATTATTTAACTAACTTAACTACAAAGAAGTTCTTTTAACATATATTAAAAAAATTATAATATAAGATGGTAAGTCCCGAAAGTGACGGTGTCATTTTAAATATAAATAATAATATATTTTCTTTCAAAAAGTATATAAAAACTAAAACAATTTTTGTAATTATTATGATTTAATTTTAAATATAATTTTTTTAACAATTACTTGTGTAGTATACGGTACTAGTATTTACTTAAATCATAATAAAAAATAGTTAGTAACTCGACATCAGAGTAAACTTTTTCATAATAAAAACTTTTTAAATCTAAAAAAAAAAAAAAAAATTGCTCAGAATTTCACAAAAAATTGTGAATCAGTTTTGTCTGCTTTTTCAGATATTCCATAAACAAAACATGTGCCAAGTGCATACATATTTTATTTATATATATGTGTGTGAAGAAGCATAGTACTTAATAAACTCGATCGGGCATGCCTATTTGTACTAGTAAAACTAACTAGGCCAAAAAGAGTTCACCTTTTTCATAGTGCTCATAGTTCATTATTGAACTCGACTATATCGATCAGTTTTGCTGTGGAGTTATTGGATAGCTCGACTTATAGAATTATCCTCAATTATTCACAAATAGTATATTGACACGTATCCTACAGTAAATAGACTTTGGACAGACGTCAATACATTAAGTGATTGATGGCTCCATCTAAAAACAATCCGATAACTCTATAGAATTTTTGTTATATCGATGTGCAAGAAAAATAATATTTCAATCATGCCTTTACCATAAAATAAAAATAAAAATAAAATAAAATCAAATTATGAATTTAAACTATAATGAAAATATATCTAAAAAAAAAACAAATAAATACTAGTAGTAATTATGTGTGACCTGTATCTTGAGTCCATTGGAGATATAATTATTGCATTGGGATTATTGAAGGTGTTGATATTAGCAGAGGCACCCAATGGTGGGACAATTAGCTTTGAAAGATTTTTTAAGTTGAGTTCTTCAGATAATGAAGCTGATGATGATGATGAACTTGCACCACCACCACCTTCAACATCACCATTTTCTACTATCTTTTTCTCCACTTGATGATGGCCTTCCTCTTTGTTCTTCATCTTATTTTGGTAATAAGTTTGATGGCTTATTGTAAAAATTGTGGAACACTAAAAGAGAAAAAAACAAGTCAAGATTCTCTTTATAATTTGTGTGTGTGTGTGTGTGTGTGTGTGTGTGTGTGTGTGTGTGTGTGGAGTTAAAGAAGTATTTGTAGAAGAGGAACATGTGAAAGAGGAGAATGGCATGATATGTATGTGTGTGTACATATTTTTTTTTATTATTTTATTTTATTTTAAGATTTAATGTAGTGGAGAAAATAAGGAAACAATAATTGGGAAGTGGTCTATTTTTTTCATTAAGTAGATATGTTGTTGCTAGTGACCCATCAAAGAGGGCAGATGTGCTTCTTTGATGATTTGTTATGTGATGAAACTTTGTTGTAAATGTAAAATTTTGTTGTAATTTTCTATTTTTTTTTNNNNTTTTGGTCGTTAAAGGGCGCGATTGTCTATAAAATATAGAGAAAATAGTTATTTACACCACACTCGAGAGATGGACTATGTTTTTTATACTTGTCAATTAAATAGTTAACCTTTTCGTGGCTTCAATAAGTGTGAAATAAATTATGCAGTAAATAAGTAAAAAAAAATGTCATGTTCTGATGGAAAATCTTACGATAATATATTCCAACAGAAATTCCAACGGATGTATCAATTGTATAGCTTTCGTTGGAATGATTCCAACGAAAATTCCAACGGAATCATTCCGCTGGAATGAATTTTTCACTGGAATTTAGATGAAATTTTATCATTCCAACGACCATTATTCCAACAGTTTTTTACTGTAGGAATTTTTGTTGGAACTTTTATTTTAACCCATATTTCAACCATTGAAAAATATACCGTTAGAATCGTCAAAACAAACAGAAATTCAATGGAAAACTCATTCCAACAAAATATTTTTGTTGGAATTTCCGTTACAATCCATTGAAAATTCCAACAGAAATAATAACATTGACATATCCATTGGAACTGTCGTTAGAATATATTTCCATTGGACTTTTCCATTGGAATTTCATCACAATCTTATAGTGAAACTATGGGACCGAAATGCAGAGATAATTGAGAAAGTGCAAAATAATTATGTGATAAACTATCCGACTAACAGATTAAGGTAATTGAGAAAGTGTGCAATAAACTATGCGACAGACAAGAGATGTTAACTGAGCAAGTGCAAAAATATGCAATAAACTTTGCGTCAAAAATACAAAGATGATTGAGAAATTAAGAAATAGTTATGCGATCTATGTGACACACATGTAGAGTTAATTAGGCAATTGCGAAATAAACATGCGAAAAGAAGACGAAGGTAATTGAGAAAGTGCGAAATAATTATGCAATAAACTATGCGTCAGACATCCGAAGTTAATTGAACAAATGCGATCTCATTAATTCGATAAACTGTGCGACAGATATACAAAAGTTAATTGAGGATGTGTGTAAAAATTAGGCCAACGGTCATGAATCTAACACATGGCGAGCGAACACTGGAAAGACACAACCCTTGCATAGAGTCTCTCTCATCATTATTAAAACTGCCATGCATGCTTTTAATTATTTGAAAAGATACAACCTTTATCCCTTTAATTAAAGACTTTTATTCTGTCAATTATGGTTTTGACCACATAATGCCCATCTCCACTATATTTGGGTGATTGACATCGATATTCTCGATCGATGCCCATTCTCAGATCATCGTGATAAAGTTTCAACAACTTCCTATGACCAATCTCTATGTTTCACTTGGTCACTGTATCCTAGTGGTCTTATGTTATACTCAAAATACGACTATCTGAATTAGTCCCTTAAATGGTGATGACGTGAGCGATGGATTTATGTTGTCAGTATTCTAAGGTTGTCGTATACAACGCCTCGTAAAAGCAAAAAAGCACATCGGCACGGAGACATCGTAGAAAACATTGGGGCCGCCCCCTAAGTTTATCTTACTATGGGCCATAGATACATTAGACCAACATCAGTATGACATAAAAAAGGCAATCATCTCACATCGACTACATTCTCAGCTCTACAAGGCTTCATTCGTGCCTCTATCGGCGGATCTATTGTGAAAAGGGATTCCACCTAGAACCGGTCCTCAATGTCTAAAATATCAGCAATTTGAGCAAGTTGTTGTGCCATGTAGCGTCTTGCATTGGGCAGACACTTGAAAGTCTGTCACGTGTCACGAGAATAATATATTTTAATTTACTTACCCACTTATAAATAACCATACCCCAAGGCTGAAAAAGAAGCACAAAAAAATCATCCAAAAACGATAAAAATGCATGCTAGCCCAATTTCCCTTAGTAGGCGCATGTAATAGGAGATCCAAAAGCGATGTAATTTGTTTTGTAAATTTTGGTGCAATCATATCACAACAAACACTCGTTACTATTTGCATATGGTTGTGACCCCTCAGAGTTGACTATTGACCCTTGATTCATTTCACGTCTTGATTCATAATAGGTGAGCAACAAAGAATTGAGTTCAACAAGTGCCCAAACCAGTTAATACATTCAATATTTGGTTCTGTTATGAGATTCTTTCACCCAATATAGCCAAAATATCACAATAATTCTTTATCTTGTTCAAGAACTCCTTCATGGACATCTCAGTCTTTTTCATTATTAAGAGCTTCAACTTATATTTCATTATCCTTGCTGAAGATTGATTGACAAACATGTTCTCAATAGCTTCCTAATGAAGTTTTTTCCTCCCCCATAGCACCTTGCCCAACATATCTTCCTCCTCAAGATTGAAAACCTTGATTGTACTTATTTGAGGATTTTGTGAAACAATATTTGCATATGGTTGTGACCCCTCAGAGTTGACTATTGTCCCTTGATTCATTTGACGTCTTGACTCATCATATGTGAGCAACACAGAATTGAGTTCTATAAGTGTGTGTGGTGGTATCTTTGATGTCACATTCACCACCATAGTCATATCCATGGCCCAAACCAATTAATACATTCAATATTTGGTTCTGTTATGAGATTCTTTCACCAAATATAGCCAATATATCATAATAAATCTTTATCTTGTTCAAGAACTCCTTCATGGACATCTCAACCTTTTTCATTGTTGAATTCATTGGGCCAATATTGGGCCTTACAAGCAAAATTGTGTTCATTAAAAGAAAAATATACTATTTTTTTTATATTGAGCTATGAACTGGACTTTGCTTCATTCGATGCAGTTGACCTTGGGCTATATCTATTCTCAATTTATTGAAGAAGAAAGAAGCAATTTATTTTATTTGTTATGCACATAATTTTTATTTTTAATTATTCAATAAAATAATTTAAAATATGATTTAAAAATTAAAGTTGTTTTTATTCTCTATATTTTGTAATTTAAATATATATTAAAATTTTAAGATAAAAAATAAATCAAAAAAAGTTATCAACATTATTCAGACGCACGATTGTATTCATTATTGAACTCTTATTTAGAGAAACGACATACATATAAAGTTATTGATAAAAATATATATAATTATTTATTATGCATATAAAATAAATAAAAATTTATATATTCATTAAACTGGTTCGACCGGTTCGACCACTGGTTCGATCAGTGAACTATTGAACCAGTAGCTTCACTGATTCGATGACCGGTTCGATTTTCAGAACCATGCTATTTATATAAAAGTTGGCTACCATTCCTCAAAGCTTTTGGATACAAATGAAATCCTACAAAATCCAAGATCTTCGAATGATATCAATGATCTTCTTTGCCTGCAGAAATCGATTTCGTTTCCTTGTAATTCTCTTGATTCGAAATTTCATACTCTTCTTAGGTTATTGATCACATATCTATAGCACATTACAATCTTCTATAATTCGAACATGTCAGGTCATTCACTCAAACTTACTCGCTTAGATTAGCACCTTAGACCATCCTCTATGTTTACCCATTCCAACAAAGTCCAAAACAAATTTTGAAATCCGACTTCACATAACCTAGTTGGTCATAAGAAATTATATATGCTCAACTATTTTCGAAACTAATTATTCACATGTTTTTTAGTGCCACATCAAAACATGTCATCACCATTTGTAACAAATTCCAATTATACATTTAAATTTTAGTTTCACAATCATTTTTTCTTAAGCTTTGTCTATCGATGACCCGATGCTTGGGTACTAGAAAGACAAAAGAAAAAGAAAAATAAATCAACAAACATGCGTGACCCAGGTCACAATGAGACCTACGGTCACAACCGGTTGGTGAGAGCATTTGAGACACTTGTCCAAATTTTATTGGACAAGTGTATTTTTTAAATAAGATAAAAAATTATATTTTAAGAGTTAATTTATATTAAAAATAAAAAATAAAAATATAAATTCGTATTTTTGCAATTTCTATAAATAGATACCACATATGACATGTTTTGAAAAAAAAATTGTAATTTAGTAATGATGATTGAAGTGTGTTTTTATTCAAAAATTTTAATTTTTGTTCCAATTTTTATAAATTTAAATTTTAATTGAGTTCGTAATTTTATTTTTAATTATAGTGTAAATATAATTTTTTAAAAATAATTACGACTTTAGTTATAATTTTTTTAATTAATATATCACGCCTAAAATAATAACACAAATTAATTGCAAATAACACTTAATAAATAAATAAATAAAAGTAAAATAAATGTTTTAGGTTGAGTTGAGTTATGGATAAAGATAAGTTGAGATATAAAAGCTGGGTTGTATAGGTAGAAGAAAGAGAAATAATTTTTTATTGTTAGGTTAGGTTCGATTGAATTTTTGGTTATGATGGTTTTAGAAGAGTTTAAATTTTGCTTACCATAATCGATGTGGTAGATTATCAATACAAAATCTGTAACACCATTGTTTCCACAAATCACTTAGGGGGTGATTGTTTGTGGATTGAACTAGTTTTTATTTGGTTTGTTTTTTAATTATAGTTAAAATTTTGAAAAAAAAGGTGGTATGATTAATTATTAGTGAATATATTAAAATAATATTTAAATAAAA